TTAGTTCTCACCAAAATAAGGTCTGCTAGTTGACATGAGTCTAGTGAGAGAGGAAAATGCCCCTTCCGAGCCGATTAGCGCCGTGTTTTCCTTCCTCCGTCCGTATTGAAAAGATCCTTACTCTTCAAACGTTTTCCTCCTACTGTTTTCGTATTTTTTGATTTTGTCATGAATTTTCTGTATTTCTGGGCGTGCTTCTTGTGCCATGCTGCACCGCGTAATCTTCCTAAACAGTTCCTTATTCTTGCTACTACTTGTCAATAAGAGTAATCATAATGTTTGTGTTGAGAAGCCTTAGAACTGCAAATGGGTCATTGGAGTCGTTATTGCCGATTAAGCCAGCTACGTAGGCGAGCGACTAGACGGGCGATATGATTTCTAAGAATCGTAGAAAACTAGCAGTCTCTGAACTGATATCGGAGCGCTTGTAGTTATTCATAGATTCAGAAGCTCAGGACTATTTTTGGCGGTTTATTAATAGTGCAGGAGATGGGATCCTTTATAGGCTAAATGGTGGATGGTTGGATGGTCGTCTTGATGTCTTATTTTCACCATCTTCCTTCATGTTTTCTGACCCTCAACCCTGGGATACACCACATATCCCAATGTTAAGGGAGGCGTGTCCGAGTACTTCATTCGAACATGGTGGGTACTTCCCTTGTGATTGGATATTGATTTTATGGGAGAGAAGTAATCAGTTCTCGTCCAGCATAAAGCAGGATAACAGTTGTCACAAACCAATATGCCCTACGAGAATAGCATCCTACGCCATGTTCAAACGAGTTACGCAGCCACGCCTTCCTCATATCCGGGACATGAAGTGGATTCATGGTCAAGCACGACGTTGAGGAAGGTCCGCCTAAGTGACCCCTCCCCCTCCCCATAAAAAAGAGTGCTTATACGACTCATCTTCCACGACTTCTGCGCTAAGGTTGGCTACCTCAAAAGATGTAAGTTGAATGCGGTTTCGTTCCAGCGGTGTTGCCTTTTAGCAGTGGAGCGCGCTATATTACCCCTACACAACCCCACTGAAATGTTTCAAAGTAGAGTATATGAGTGTAATTATTCACGAGTATTCTGAGTCATGAGTATTTTTTTTCTTTTCCTACAGCAGAAGGAATGATAGGGTCATCCATGGGTGCGCCACGCACACGACCTCCCTCACATTTCTGGTAAAAATTGAAGCTGTGCTGGTCCATGTAACAGATTTCTGAGTCTGATGACACACTTCGGTATCGCAAGGAGATCCTGCCCATAGAGATACCGCTTTAGACTCGCTCTTTGCCCTTAACCTTGACACAGCTTAGTTCTGTTGACTTCTGATTTATCCAAATACGACCCCCCCCCCTCCAACGAGCCACTTAACCCCCAAGTTAAGGTTTTCTGAACGGATGATGGAGCCAGGGTGGATCTCTGTGCTAGTTTGTTGTTCAGTTTCCATCCTTATTTACTCCTACTATTTTCCAAACAAAACAACAAAGAAAATCCGATTACCGGTAAGTTGTGTGATGTATGCTCTCATGTATTTGAACATATTGAAATCCAGTTCCAGTGCTGATAAGTAAGATTGTACCGCTGCCGATATTTTGACGCACAATTGCAAAGTAACAGCATTTGCCTATGTTCTGCTGAAATGTTGCACTGAGAGGTCAAAGGGACAAGATACTTAGGTTCAGGGCAATTAGCCAAGAAACGGATAAAGATTAAGGAAATCCCGCTAAATGCTATTTTTTGCACTTTCTGAAAAGGATCACGGGAAAAGTGCAGGTTGCATTCATGGGCTTAATGTTAGGACTTTGATATTTAATAGACCATATGAGGAATGGTTTTAGATCCGAAAAGTTTTATCTTGTGCTGCCATTGTTTGAAATCATATTTCGAGATCAACTGGTAATGCAGAAAAAGTGGAAGTAACTGCACTCCAGTGCCAGAGGAATCGGTGCTATTGATGCCAGGATTTAGCTAAGGCCTTTATGAGTCTTCCTACTCAAGCGGCTGCGACTAGCTGACAGATTACCTGGGCAGACACCCACAAATTTCTATGGGGTGGGGTGGGACCATTCAAGCAATTCTGCAAATCTGAAATTACGTCCGCCGATTAGCATCTAAGAAGTTCGAATAAATTCGGTCCCTCCTTACCTTTCGGTGCAACTAGGAAGTGTGATGTCACATTGATCACAAAACGTCATCTAGACGAGAGAACGCAGACAAAAGCAGAATATTGACGCGGTTAAAGGGACGCAAGTCAAGAACCGTTGGAGTCGCTGGGAGCTCCGCCTTCTGATTATGGACGAGCCAACAAGGGGTCGAGTTTGTGGAGTTGCACTCTCTCTCGCCCATGATTTTCTAGCCTGACTCCTCGCAGCTCAGTGTTCCGCCTTGTTCCTCACAGCTGATCTTAACCATCGTATTGGACGTGACCGAATGAAAAGGGAGGGTCTTATATGAGAAGCTTTTTTTCATAGATTCTGTAATTTTCATCACTGACAGATCCCTTAGAGCATTAAGGTTTACTTTTAAACTTAACTGCCTACGAATTACAAGCGCGGAACTTGTCTTAGAGAACGAGATGCTTCTCTGAGGCCTCAAAGTATGACCGTTGTGGGCATCTTTATGTCATCACTAATTATGCACACCCTAAACGAGTTACGAGCGCGGCTATGCACTTGCATGAGTGAAGAATGCAGCTTCTGCAAGGGAATGAGACTACGTTAAGTACTTTAAGTATGCATGGAATGTCATTCAGTCCTCTCAGAAAGACTAACTTTCCGAAATGTCGAGATTAACAAAGGGTCGACCCTAAAAACTCGTCATATATAAAAGCATCATTTAGCAGGTAGAAAGCTCATTTTTAGAGCATCGTGCCACACATGATGCCCTAAAGGTGTTAGTCCTACTGAAGCATTAAGTCAGAACTTCTTCGCTGAGGCGATTGTCATAGGAATGTAAAATGAACCTCTTGACCAACTCTGAGATAAGCCATACATTCGACTTTTGTCCATAGTCATAGTAATCTTACTTATTCGATCTATGCAATTACTTGCGGGGCCAAACGATGTATGAAACAGCATTCTTGGAGTTCCAGAGGAGTCTGACCACAACTAAGCGGAGGTCCAAGACTTGTTATCAGGGCAGAACTGTGATCTCTAATTTGGTCCTTTGGCTTGGGTGTCAAGGTGCAGCTCTAACCAGCGCTTTACCCACATAATCATAGTCCATACCTTCAACCTTAGAAAACGATAAAGAATCAACTCTTCACGGCTGACCAATCTTTTATTGGCGCGCCCCACGCCACACTATCCTGGGAATGGAGTGGGCGTGGCTATTTCATCCTGATGTGGCAGTGGCTGCTGTCTGGTGGAATATCCTGTTCATCAAAGTGACGACAAAGATGTCCCAGTTGGAATTATCTACCAAAAACACGTCCAACGCCGTGTCCAAACAAGAAACGCATCCACACCCTTCCCATTTCCGAGATATGGAGTGTACTTCTATACAGAACAGAGTGGTCCACTGAATGCAATGTGACCGTTGACGATATGCGGGGGCCAGCCGATGCCGTCAGCGCTCTTATCCTACTAGACCAATCTGGATAGAGGGCTTCCGGAGGGTAAAAGGCTTGGTTGGCCTGGAAGGGAGTCGATTCCGGATTCGATCCCGCTAGCATGGTAAGCTTGCCAAAAGCCACTAAATGTCACAAATCCTTATCTTTCGACCAACTTGGTTTCAATTTCCTTTATCCCATGATCTTACAAATTCTCTGCAAATTACATACTTTCTAATTACTCTTCTACATGAGTTTCAAATTTTCCTCTGCTCACTGTATCTGAACTCCTCAATGATGCTAAACCAAAGAGGAGGGTCTAAAAACTCGGACTCATCTCAAGGGTTTTCTCTCGATAGCTCTGTCGGCCTAAACTGTAGACCACTCTTGTAAGTACGAGCCAAGCATTTGTATTTGAGTAGGAGGTTCTGAAGATATTCCGTTGCGCTCAGCCGTCATTCGAAGGCTTAATGCATCCGGCAATCTGCCATCCCTATTTGTGTTCAATACCATGCATAAAACCCACGGTACGTGCTCAACCCCCGATGGGCGTGGCCGAACTTTCCGTCAGCACTCAACGTGATGCTTCTTCTTAGCTAGTTTGACTTGCCAGCTACACGGAAGTCTCTGCATCTTGAGAAATCTTACAATATTTAGGAATTGACTACGCTCACTACGAGCTGGGATCAATTTTAATTGCATTTTGTTTTCTGTGAGAAATTCTAAAAGGGCACTGCACTTTTTTCAGTCCCACTTCTCGCTCTTCCTGCAGTCCAGTCTTCCTTCACTTAGTTTATGTTTACTGAGTGTTCTCCTGTAAACGCGTGGGGCATCCTAGAAAATTTTGATAAACACCCACATCGCTAGCTCCTTATTTGTAAAAGTTGATATTTTTGGAGGCATTACAGTAACCAACACTGATGATCCCCCTTTAGAAGAATCTAATTATCCATATGTAGGCGTAGGCGTGTAATAGATGCGGACAAATCTTTTTCCTCTGAGTCTTTTATATAGACCCTTCTGAAAGGTTTTACTTATGCATTCATTTATTTTTACAATTCAGCTCACCTTTCTCTAGCTCTGGTTGAGGAGGGCCAGATCTTTCTGGCTCTGTTCCAAGTTAATCGCCATCTCATTCACAAGAACCTCTTCCGACCCTCTTTCCATTCCTCTTTTCGGCGAAACTTGCTGAGCCGAGGTGTTTTGGTCGAACTTCTGGTTAGTTTGTTTCCTTAAGAATGCGAACCTCGGGGGTGCTTGAGGTGCCGACCCTAAGGAAGAGGGAAAAGATCTGAATGAAACCAAAATTATTAATGTTCTTTCTCCAATTTCCACTCATTCTCTTCCACTCTGTTTTCACCCTGAAGTTCATTTTAAGGTCTTTGAAATCGCTTTTTCGTACGCCATTATGACGTAACATGAAAACCGTGATGGCCGCCTTACTGGATGTCTATGACTGGTCATTTTCAATCTTAAATTTCAGTTCTATGCACCCGCAAGTCTTCTTTATAATTGTTCATCAATCGGTGGTGATGACATTGGCAATACTTGGCAATTTATTTTAATTTTTGTCATATTCCGTGGAAATCATGCTGTACGACGACGTATTTCACCTGTTCAGGTAAGAAGCGTACAGTGAATGACCTACTGAAACAATTAACTGTGCAGTAATAGCACAATATTAGATTACTAACAAGCCGATAATTACTATTTCGTGACGAAATTAGCTTTTGCATACTAGGTTTGAATCGGAAATGATTCGCCGTTTTGAAAACAAAGTAGGGAATCCCCTCTCTGACTTTTGCAATGCATGAGCTTCTAGAGAGGTCAACACAGCCTTCTACCCCAGGAGGACGGTAAATTAGTGCCAGATTTGTCAGATAGGATAAAAAGACTGCCTTGCACCTGCTTTCAGTTCTTCAGAGTTCAATTTACTACCTGACTGTTCCCCTACTGAATCGGTACTTTTTCGCTACAAGTAGGTAATGACGCCTGCCAAAGGGGTCATCACGAACTGATAGGGCTCTTGAAGGTACACTTGGAACGCGAGTTGAGAAACACGGTCCAGAAATTTTCAGCTGTTGTCTGTCCTTTCAGAAGAGAACTGGGAGTGTCTTCCGAATCCATCCGGAGGCGTGAGTGGCACTCTCACATTAGCGCCATATTTAACCTGGATAAAGCAATTTGCTCCCTCCTTAATCACTAAAAAGGCTTCAAAACAAAGCTGGTGATGCTCTTGAAGTCGAAATCCTTCGAGGTTGCCCACTTGAAGTTTTAATAAAAACGTAAGCATGAATGGGCCCTTTAAATGGAACAGCTAAAGCGCATTTTTCATGCTCACTGAAGAATGCTTGAAAACTCCCCCTTCTTACCCCTCTTTTTAGAGGCATTTTTGATGAATTTCACTTACAAAACCTTACTTGATTACTTGAAAAAATGAGGTAGAAATATGGGGATGGGATAGGTCGCTGAGAAGTTAGAACCTCAGCAGCAACCCTAACTTTGTTGCGAATCCGTTTCCCAGCATTATTGATGTAATCTTTTTTGAACTTTACCCCCAAAATAGTATTTTGCACTCGATTTATCCTAGTTCTCGCCCACCGACTTCACAAAACTAAGTATGAGGAGTCACAGGATGTAATCCATGTGTTGTTCTCAATGCGGTTCAGAACAAATGCATTGAGGAGTGAACATGCTTTCTGGGCACTTTTTTATCCCTTGTCCTTCCTTAGACTCTTCTAGGAGGGCGCTTTCCCAGGGTTAATTCCCCCCTCCCCCCCCCCCTTACATGGCAACAATGTTCTTAGAACTGAGCGAATAATTTAACGGAGAAGAGACAAACTGATCCCTTGAAACGGTTTCTGGGAAGGAAGAAATCAGCGCTGAATTTTTCGATGTTAGATCTTGGAGGAATGTATCATATAGATGTGGTTTCCGTTTGTGCTACATGTCCCAAGTTTCTCTGACAAGATCCAAACCATAGTGCCGAGACTGTGCAGGGTGGGCAGTGAGGCAAGCTGTAATCAAAGCTCTTGTAACGTGGAAAGGATGCCTCTATATCCGCCAGTGGGGAGGGCGTGGCTGCACTAGGAACATTTCCAGGCATAGGAACGGTCGAGCTCCTGCGTAATTTCCGTTTGTGGTTCAGGACTACAATTTCACAACGTTAAGGGCCATTCTTCCGCAAAACTCACTTGAAAATTTCGCTATGGAGGCGTCAGTGGCATAGACGCGTCTTCTTCCGAACATGCTCTTTCTTTCGCTATTCTCCGTGAAAAAAAAACTTTAATTGCCCGAAATAACTTTCGAATTTTTGAAGCAGCCAAGTTACCAAACGAGTTTGGCCACTGTTTTCATCACTCTTTCACTGCAGAAGATTCTCCTTGCTGAAAATAAGATTTTCTTATTTTTCTTCGTGCCTGGCGTTCCGATTAATTCTTGGAGGATTCTGCGACCCCATACCCCAAGTATGCTCCTCCGGTACGACCCCCATTTCCTAGCCTTGCTCCAAGGGAAGCAGAGAACATCATTAGCCAGGGATTGTGGGTCCGTGCGACACCCTCCCCCCACCTCTAAAAGGTGGCTCGATACGACCCCCCCCCCTTCTGTTCCGGTCGAGCTGTCGAGCGGGAAGGGGGAGGGGAAGCCAATAACCTCTCTGAGAACACTCAGAAGACCAGAAGGCAAATAGTATCCCCACCCTTTGTAGCGGCGCCGAAACAGAAAGAAAACCATTGAAAAAATTTTCCAGCATCCCAGCTACCAAATACGACCCTCTTTCCGTATTGAGGAAACCCCAACGATGATGTGCATTGTACCAACCAAGGCTCATCATCGTGCCCAGAAAGCATGTTCACTCCTTAATGCATTTGTTCTGACTCAGGATGAGAAGGGATATATGGCGCGTGAAGTGGGAAAAATCTACAAAAAGGAAAATTTTCCACAGGAGAAAAATTCAACACCTTTATTTTCTACACAACAGATGGTGAACCATGCTCCCACACCCTGAACCTGCCTATATTCATCCTGCTTGCATCAAAATGTCTTACCATTTAATCGGCTTGTTATACCATCTTGACATTTTAGCTTGTTTTTCCAAAATATCGTGATGTGATCCAATAGGATTAAATTAATAGGCGAGTGTCAGTTCCTATAAAATAGGTTCTCAAATGTTAATATATATTTCAATTCCATGGTACATCAAAGCATATAAATACCCAGATGTTATAGAGAATACTGGTGAACACAGTCAAATAATATATATTATCGTAATAAATAATTCGATTTATACATTTCAGCTTCTTTTACTGCATACCTGCGCTGCCGACCTGCTCTTCGCTTTGGTCACCTTAGGCACTGAGATATTGACTCTGGTAAGTTAGCCGCCATTTCTAATCCGCAGTTCATTGCACGTTTTTTGCCTTCAATATTCCTGATGAAAATCAACACTTTAACATTTTGCTCTCGAAATCTACTGGAGATTACACATGATTATGCGGGTAAAGCTCAGAAATTTACGCTAAACATGGCGCTCCCCGATCGCCTGTTGGGGATAAACGTGGGGCTAGTGTGGCGCTTTTCAAAACCACATTTCACAACTTCTCGAAGGCCGGAATTTTCCTGTGCACAGGGAGCGCAGCTGTCTGTGCTGTACGATTTTCGGTACAGAAAGGCCTAGTAAGAGTGCTAACGGCTTGGGATAGCGGAGTTCGTGCCCCTACCAAGTGTGGATGCCTGTGCTGCAGCTGCGCGGTGTAGCGATCGACATCCTTGATCTATTTCTTCAGTGATTGGTTTTTCCCCCCTGGTTTAGTCTCTCTGCGCACACCGAGCGTCTCTGCGTCTCCAACTATCGTACCCTCGTCCACTTCCGAGATCAACTGCGCTCTATTTGGGAGCTTTTACCAGTTTCTTCTGATATTCTTTGTTGGCATGTCAATGAGAACCAGCAGATTGATGTTTGGACCTGAAGATCCACAAGTTGCAATTGCGGACCACAAGTTGCAATTGGGAATGTGTCTTTAAGGCCTTTGTGTATTCGGACCTCGTTCTCCATTACCAATACTAAATATCTCGAAAACTTACCCCAAACTGGGCTACTATTTGAAGCTGACGTCATCACTTCCATCAGCTATCAACCCCATGAGTGCAATCTTGAGGTACCGATGAGGAGGCGATTTGCACAATTGCGTGCCATAGGTCATCTGGTGGTTCTTCGTGCTTCGTTAACCATTTATTCTGCGAGAATCATCGAGTAATCAGGCGATTTGGCCTATAACTGCTTAACTAATGAATTTTTGATAGATTTCCGATGAATAATCATTGAACACTTGAATAATTGAGGGCTCCAAAAACTAGCGGAGGTCTGACTTCCACGTATAGTTCCCATTAAGAAGTCACTCGCAAAGACTACGACAACTTCTCCAGCGTTGTAAAGAACCTAAGGTTATAGCTGAATAAGGAGAATGCGGAACACGGGGAACAAGTTGACATTTCTGCGAAGACTATCTGGGTCAGGTTTGACGACATTAGCGATCATGCTGAAAAGCTGTAGCTGTAAAGATGAAAAACATATTTGAACCTTGCTACGTCGTGTTTTGCATTAAGCAAAATACAGTCCTCATCATTGCGGACTGTCGGAGGGCGAGTGTGCAACGCGGTCCGTATGGGCGTTCGGCCTCGTTGCTCTACCAATGGCGATCGGGAAAAGATCCATTTAGGGTGGGAGCAACCAATGATAGAAACGCCGCAGGTACGTGCCGCTGATTGCGACCCGACAATTGCGGCAATGTAAAGTGTATGTACCGCTTCCTTCTTTTTCAATTTTCGATGATCGGAAATCGGAACGATGCGTTCAAACACTACCGTAGGGAGGGTTATAGTCCACTCCTCTCTCATCCCCACTTATACGTGTTTTTTCTAGCGTTTTCAATAGACCCAATAGTCGGAAATAAAAGGCACCGCGTAAGGCACGTGGCGCTCGGAAACGGAATTTTTTTCTGAATGTTTCCTAACGAAGTCCAGGTCCAGATATCAGCGGTTCAGAGCCAAGAGTAGCAATTCAATCAGTAGGAAAAAAACAGGAAAATATCATCAAACATCCATGAATGCATTCTGCTCTAGCAAACGCAGTGGGCACGATGGCTGGGGGCGGACGGTTGTTGCCAAGGTCATTGGTGGAAGGGATGAATGAAGTGCGGCCAAACGCCTTCTCACAGCCCTTCCACCAATGGTATTAGCAACCGCCCGTCCTGGCAACTGTGCCAACTGCCTAGTAGTGATCAAAAGCAAAAATTGTTCTTCATTTTGCAAATACATCCTTACTAATTCCAGCTTTCATATCCTCACTTTGGTGGCTCAGACTGGTTGTGCAAAGCAATGCGCTATGGACAAGTGCTACCACTTTATGCAAGTCCATTCCTATTGGTGGCCATCAGTGCAGATCGCTATCAGGTACGAATTTTTCTGATATTCATGAAGTCCATAGCTAAAAAAACGAATGCTAAAAATATTCACTTGCGAATTTAAACGTAAGAGCCTGCCCTTAAGCAGGCTGGTGTTCCAGCAAGTGGATGGCTGCAAGTCAGCGTTCTTGTCCTCCCATACAAGTCCGGTATCCGTTAATCACTCGTAGGGAGATCGAAATTCTGCCTCAGATGAGAGCCGATTTGGGATGACCCCGGATCTTTGCACGGGAAGTGGTCCACGTGCCACTGCGTCACCACAGGACACAGCATGGTTTGGAGAATCCCATCAGGATGGCTCATGGTCGTTGTATGAGGGGGGGGGGGAGGAGAGAGAGAGAGGGCACTTGCATTTGGCAGAAATTTCCCCAAGCCCCGAAAAGATTCTCCCTGTTGACTGGTTGTTGACTTTCTCGGTACATACTCTCCCTCGCAACTACTGTAAAACTACTAGTTTTTCAATACAGAAGTTAGTAGTTGAGGTGACGTCTTCCATTCCACCCTTTTTTCGGCGACAGTTTCTTTTCCATTTCTGAGAAGAAGTGGAAACTTTTTGGAAAACCCGGAAAAGTGGTAGGAAGTTGGGGAATTTCAGGAATTGTTGGTAGGGCAGGAGAGCGGGAGGGAGTAGGGAAAGGGGGTCCTACCCGATGGAAAACCTTGAGGGGTCATCGCACTGGCACCAGCTCGTCACATATCACGGTGCTGTACCCCCATCACTGTAGTCCTCAATCCGACTGCATAGTTTTGAAGGTAGTGGGGGCAATACTGTGGGCGGGCGGTTGTCGTCAAAGTCATTGGTGGAAGGGATGGCGGAGGGCGGTCAATGGTTGAAGGGCCTTTCGCAGCCCTTCAATCATTGACGTTGCCAACAATCGCCCGCCCACAGCGGTCATGCCCACTGCCCTGAAAATATCCTATACTAAGAACTAACCTACTTCAAGATGCACTGGTTTTCATGGGAATTTCCGGAATCGGTCGACATTTTCCAGGCAATTTGTCGACCATTGGCAAATATTCGCTCTTCAAGATTTCGGCGACCAAATTGCTTTGCTGCAGTGGCATGGATACTGGCACTGCTCTTCTCCATACCGCAGTTGTTCATCTGGAGAAAAAAGTGCTGAAATATTCCAATCAACAATCAAAAAAAAATTTCGTCAATAAATAATTTTTAGGCAAAATGGCGAATGTGCGACTTTCTATGGCAACAAATCGCACTTTCTAAAAAATCTCTACGTGATTGGTTTTAACACGATCGGTTAGTTTGTGCAAATTGAAATGTTCATTTTTAAAGCTAGTGAAACGGCTTTTGTAAACTGCATTCGTTGAATCCTGCATTTGAAATGACAACTATCCGAAAAAAAGCTGCCGTTTAATCCAATTTGCATGCAGAAATAGCAATGGCAACTTGAGGAGGCGAGAAGGGTTACTGTAATTCATTCAAAACCACCTCCCCTTTTGATTTCATGACCCATAAATTAGAGGACAACTTACATTCATGATGTGGTTTCGTTCTCGAAACCTGCACCCAAAAACCACTTGAGAGTAAAAACACATTTCGCTGGTGATATTATGTTGCCCTCGAAAAGAAATAATGACGAGAACGCTGAGCCGTCATTGATCATAGCAACTCCACCCACCAGTTGACAGCCACGCCCATGGATGAACGGCGTTGCTCCAATATTGAAGTGGGACCGTATGTCTCGTCTCACACGTCCTTCTCTTTCCTCATCATTTCTTCGGTCTCTCCTTGGCGCTCACAATGATTCCCCGCCTCCCGACCTATCCCTGCTCTGAAAAATCACTTGCGAAACGAGGACTCCTTTTGAATCGTAACTAAAAATATTTAATTATTTTGGGACGTGAGGCATTTATTTGTATTTACAAAAAGAAAGCCAAATAAGGGTGCGCCTTATACATCGGAGAATAGAGTACTTGGAGCATACGTCGGCGTACCTTCTGCTTTTTAGTGGCACTCCAGTTAGCGTCATCAGTGCTCATGGTTGGACCCCATTACCCATGACCTGCTAACGTGGAATGTGTTTCTAAGTCATCTATCTTGCAGTTGCATCATTGAAGAATGTTCTACGCACAGTTTCCTTAACTTGAGGGACCACACTTCATAGCAACCCCACCCACCAGTTGATGGCCACACCCTAAAATTGAAGGCGTTGCTCAATCCGCTCAATCCCGCCCGCCCCTTGAGCGGTTCAAACTTGAAAAGCTGCACGATCATGTGGTCAAATGGCCTCTGAGTTGGATCTGTTGCTGGTGAGAGTTGAAGGCCCTATTGATCGATATTGATTTCAGCCTGGCTTTTACCGTCGATATTCGCCGCGTTTTTCTACTACTGCGTTTGTAAAGCAGTATGGATGTCGCGATCAAAAGCAGCAACTCTTCACCAAGCAAGCATCATGGAAGTTAAGAAGAGGTATGTCACGATAATAGAGTATAAAATGGCTTGGCGCGGAGTTTTTATATCGTGGGAAAAGAAATGGTGGTTCAGTTCAAGTAGAGGCGCAATTAGCGTAATGGAATTGGCATATTTACATTGGGCGATGTGACAATGCCATTGTAAAGCCATTCCAAATTGGATTTTGTAATGGATTAGTGATGCATCAAAGCCTATCCACATCCTTAATGTAATGGTGAAGTACGTAATCCGTCCAGTGGGCGGTTCCGGTCGTTTTTGCTCCATTTATGAACAACACATGAATCATAGCTACAAGCCGATTTTGAAAATCAAGCATTCAAGGAGTTCCTTGGGGAGGTTATAGGAGTTATTGATCGGAAATATCAAGACAAACTCTATATTCAATTTCGTGGATACTGGTTCCTGCCATGTGCCGGTGAGAAATGTACATGAAAGAGCGTGGAGTTGTGCTGATGGCGTCGTCTCCATGCCCTGCCCGCGCTGCCGTGCGGCTAGCCACTCAACCATATCCGAACGCTCTACTTGTCTGCGCTCTCTCCCTACTGCCTGCTCTCTATCTCTTACTGCGTGTTCGCTGCGGCATTTTGGTACCAGCGCAAGGGTTGTACCTTGCGTACAATGCTGACGGACTTCGGAAACAGCGCCCGAACGTCACTGTTCTCTGGCCCATTCCCGTGCACTTCTGAGCAGGTAAAGTGGCACGTCACCGCAACGCGGACCCACTTACCTCATTCATGGCAAGGGCCACCTGAGGGTTGTGTTTACAGTTGGTCTCTAATATTGAAGTTAAGAGGTCTGACTTCAATGCTTTTGGTCTTCGATCGATGTTCACCGTGGTTGAAATGTTAACTTCACAAGAAGGCCCGTGACGAAATCGAGCCCTTGTTAATACCGTTCAAAAAGAATGGTCTCGAAAAAACAGGACTGGTTTGGACAGGATGCAACTGAACCCCAATATTGGAATTTTTGAAGCACTAAAGAGATGACCCACAAATCGTCGCAAAAAAATCGGGGCGGTGTCAAGAGGTATGGAATGATCTCACCTAAGTCGTTTTCGCTACTGTTTGTTTCCATCGGGAATCGATCACTAATGGATTGCTATTGGTAGAAAAGGCAGCTGGAGGCGGGCACAATCCGCTTCACCTGAGACCGCCCCGACCGATTGCGGCAATTCAACTATAGGCACACTTTTTCGTTTGAGCTCAATCGTTTAGCGCCTAATCGTTTTAAGCTGCATATTCTGTAGCAGCTGAAAGTGCGGTGATGGTCGTTCTATGCCTTGGATAGAAAAACCAAAGTATAAAAAAACGTTTCAAAGAACAGCGAAACCATCGTTTCTACCTTTTATAGCTTTTAAAATCGAAAATTGAAAAGTCATCACATTAAACAGCCATTAAAGGCTTTGACATGTGATTCTTCGTTTTGCTTAGAGCAACTTCAACAGGGATAAATTCCACAATGGCAGTACCCTGACGCTTTCTTATTTATTATTTATATTAATATTGAAGCACTGCATAAAACAGGCAGTACAGTGACTTCGGAAAGATAGCTATTAGTAGCAGTCGTATGTCCATAAGTCATTCCTGTAAACGCGCTAAAAAGCATGCTGGCGAGAGTGATCATAGTTGTGTCGGCCGCCTACCAGTTAGTACTTATTAATGTATAACTGTCTCGATAGGAATTAGGGCGTAAATCAGCGCATCCGCATACGGAAAAGAATCTGTCAGTGAGTGCACGCGAGCGACAGTTGCCTAGTCTGTACGGCTTGGATCTCCTGAGCCACATCGTAACAATGACGTAAAATCCCATGATGGAGTATTACTTTCCTAGGGGTTCTCTCAGCCTAAATTCGGAAAGTGGTGAGAGAATTTTCCAGTTCTCCCACGTATATAGACAGAGGCCCTAAAAACCACGTTCCACATTTTGAGTTCCAATTTCCACACATCCTGAGGGTAAAATATTAGAAGCATTGGAAAAATACCACGTACCATGAATAGACTTTGGCAATCACAGGACCACTGGTCCGACCCCAGCCAAAAACGTTTCCCGAGAAAGTAGCATTCATAGCGCCTGCAATCAACCTAATTCTTTTTAGTAAAAAAGTCAAGGCCTTAAAAATTCTTTTTCAGCGATGTAACACAAGACTACATCAATCGGCTGCGAAAGAAATCATGCGGTCATCGGCGTCAAAATTCCGAATTCGATCGTAAACGAGTACAAACAGGTAACTAGTACGCTGTAATGTTTTTAGCTTACTGGCTAGCTTTTAGCCTTTTTGCCCAGTAACAGTTATACTGCCACACATTGATTGGTCTCGGGAAATGAGTTGATATGCCACTAGAACGGGAAACGATAGCACACATTATTCAGTGGGAGCCCAGTAGCACACTCCTCGTTGGTCACATGGGCGGAGTCAAACCTACCATCAAATCCTCCTCTCCGCAGTCGCGGTCTTTGTCATCTCAGAAGGGAGGGACGCACCAGGGGGAACCACAGCGCTATACCTCACTCCGCCCATGCAATCAGCTTGGAACAAAAAGAGATTGCGTTAATGTAGACTAGAAATGTTCGTAATTCCGTGCTGAAAACATTGCGCACGAAACTATGAGCACCATGTTCACGGAATTAGTAATGCCATTACTCGCTTTTCTTTCATACTTACTACTTATTACTTAATTTATAGTGCGGCTAACAATGACCATCATTGCCACTAATTTCTTCCTATGGATGCCATTCTGCCTAGTCAATATGATACAAGCATTCAAACCTGGAGCACTGAGTGAGTTCTTTATCTTGCTGTTTTAGTATACGGTCAAGTTCTGCTGAACCAGTAATCAACTCCTTTCTATAAAATGAAATGCGCCAATATTGAAGACTTAAAGACACATTCCTCGGCTGCATTGTGAGTCTAAATATGAAGTTGTAGCTGCTAGGTAACTAACCGCTAAAAAAGTAGCAGAAGTTCTTCTCCAAGGGTCCCCGAATAAATCAGAGTTGCGCATAAGCACGGAATAGCGTGCGGCGAATATAGACGCAGAGACACTCAGCAGGAGACCACAGAGCTATATCTAATTGTAAGGCTTACATAGCCACATATACAAGGGCGAGGAATGTGTCTTTAAGTCTTCCGAAGAAACCGGTATTCAGTCAGTCTTGACACATATGCAGAGTTCATGAGAGAGCTGAATCGATTTCAGGTCCAACCCTGAGCATCTACGTGATGATCCTTGGCAATTTGAATTCATGTGTAAACCCTTGGCTTTATATTCTATTCAATCGTTCTCAGGCTGTCAAAGCCTTATGTGGACGACGAGCAATGGGTAGGTTGTCTCAATTAAGGTCTAATGCCTTCCAATTCAACAATTTACTGCTCTAGGTTACTCCACACATCGAAGCGAGACCGACATGCTATCATCAAGCCGGCGATCAGAATTCAAATTCTCCGTAGGCAACTCGTTGGCACCTCTAACACCGGAGGAAATAAAGGTACTTTTATTGAGCACTTAAATCAAACCGTCACCGGAATTATGGCAAGTAGGGGAGACCGGCTAAGCTCTGTCACACCCACTTTCTGCTAGTCTGCGCCCTCTCACCCACATATCATTCGGTGATGGTCGAGGCGACTAAGACTATTCCGGTTTCAAAGCGGAAATATAGCGCCGAAATGTTGCAGTATTCGAAGCAATTTCCTCCGAAAAATAAAACATTTCGAACGCTGCTTCGACGACAAGGCAGTGAGTTCAGAGAACAGGCGAAGTGCAAGATCCAGAAATTATAAAAAAAATGAAATCGAACGGATTGTTTGGGTCCGTGAGCCAACAACGGCATACCTTAAGCCGATTCAGTAGTAGTTCGCATTCAGCACAGCCTGGTTGAAGCACGTTTCGTCACTGACCCGGACTCTCACGTGCGCTACGGCCTGCAGGAGAGAGAGGGGATGATCCGCAATGAGGCCAGGGAACGAGAACGACACGGAGTCCGCTCTCCACTAGATTATAAGTTCAGGAAGTCAGGGTGTGCACAGTACCTCCGGAAGTTGCGCGTGAAATTTAATATGTCACGCCGCGACCGCACGCACTCGGGTATACCGTAAGCAGGCCCAGCTCCGGCGTGTGGGTACCGCATCCCACACGCCGGAACTGAGCCTGCTATCTAGCCCCCAGTACGCCATGTTGTATGCATTCATCACCCGACACACTCAATTTCACGCGCAATTTGGGGGGTTCTGTATGCACCCTGACTTCCTGACTTATAATCTTGTGGACAGTAGAGTATAATATTATTCGCTCTCCACACTTTGTCAGTTGCCGTCTAGGCGAAAACCGAGCGGCACTGTGTGCATTTGGTGTCCCTACGCGCTCGATTTTACGCGTAATCATACTGTATCCTGCCTGTTTTTCTAGACCTGTGACTTAATATTTGACGAGAATGCGCACATGAGCAGGAAACTATAGCAGCTATGACTCGTCATTTGCAAGTTACCCTTCTCCTCCCTAAGCACTAGGCCAAACTTTATCAAAGTCATGCCAGTCAATAGGTACAATCCTTTCCTACAGGGAGTCTATTCCGCAATAATGGGAATTAGTCACGTGAATTTTTGAGTAATTGAATAAGCACTGATTTTTCAGGTGCACCGTAATGTATCGTTCCAAGAGCCAACAAATCGTGCGCCAAGAGAACCCTCATGCCGGTCAGAATTGCCACAACGCAAACGCACTCCATCGTCACTCTACGCCAAACGTTCCACAGCTTACATTAACGAGAATTCGCCGACGTCAAATGGCTACCATATCGTACTATCAAACGACTCACCACCTTCATCATCATCCCCTCAACTGGTTGATAGCCCTCAAGAACTATCATCGTTTTTCAACGCCTAATTCCAACAAGAACGACAAAATATTGAATTTTTTTCGCTATGTATCCTCTGTGCATTTTGTGAATCTCTACTGTGTCATCGGGTTGCATTTCATGGTGTATCTTTTTTTATGATGATAGCCTCAACCATGAGGTTTGCCTCGTTCATTTCTAATCATCTACAGCTGTCTCAGTACATGATGTCATACTTACACATACACATAAAACGTTTATGAATGTATCACGATAAATTGGCTTCTTCTACTGGGAACATATACGGTAGTCCTGATCGTTTACCGTATCGGCCTCGGAGGGACATCTGAGTGTTGAAGCTGCGCCCATCACCCATCACTGGCACTGAACCGTATCTGCAAGCATAGAGCATTAATTCATGGTAATTTGTACAGCAGCTCCTTGACAATACTCTTCAAAGACCTGAGCAGTTTCTTGGAAGCTCAAATTGTTTTCATTTCTGAGTTCAAAAGGGAATTTGGATTCATTTGAAAGAGGCGGTGAACGAAACGCTAATTATGCAGGCCCCGTTTCTCCTGATCGTTTCCAAAAAAGCATTGCTGCTTAGTTTAGATGAGAATCACTAAGGACCGAATTACTTCTGTTGAGCGGTAGTTCTGGCATGCGCCATGTTTTCAGCTTCTAACCGACACCAGCTGAACCACCAGTTCTGGTCTAACCTGCCCTCACAGCCGAGGTCTCTTCTTAATCTCAAACCCCGCGATTGTATACTGTGGATACTGGGGTACCATCACGCACCTAAAGTCTCTGGGTGAATCCCAAGGGAAGAAAAAAAAACAATAAAACCATGAAGAACACCCTAAGTGAAGACCTCAGTACCGGTCTCACTGCAAGAGTTCCCGGACCTGCTCGTTTTTGCTACTGAAGCGATGACCTGCCATCTTTAGCTCACTAATCTTTTCTCGGCGTCATTCAATGCTAATACCATTGATCGATGAATAACTTGAAATAAAAAACTGAGGAAAAATTGAACTCGCTCAGAAAATAGCCTTTGAGCCTTGGAGGGCGGGGCTACCAGGGAGGCGTCAGAGCTGCCGTTGATGAGGGCGCAGCGCCTTCGTTACTAACTGCGGCGCTGCGGAGAAGGGACAATCATAGAGACTGAGGGCCAGATTATTTATGAGAGGAAGGACGCCCACGAACTTCTTCAGCGCGGGGATTGTCTTCAAGCTGAAATTGTAGAACGCGGCCTCAATGCAAGCGGTGGCTCTGTTATAGTTCGGCTTATCGACTGAGTTGATTATCCTATGTATCGACTATCTGGAAGAAGAAACGTCTCACCGTATTGCGGAGGTGTCGTCATCAATAATATAACGAAGTCCGACTCGTCGTTTCACATCCTGGGCTCCACAAGCAGTGAGGAGGACGATAGCCAGAAAGAGACTCAGTGCAAGCATGAGGCCTAGAAGTAATTACATTATAAGTCGTGGTGTACAAAAACAGCCCCTCCGAACCTGAAAGTCCTGCATAACGCTTTCCGTTTTTCACGACTACAAAATATGGATGGAGAAAACCACATTGAAACAATTCAAAAAGCGCCGAAAGTAACCAGATGAGAGCTGAATTCCCGTAGATCACAGTAGTGTCAGCTCAAAAACATTACTTTGATCAGACGAAGTAGCACTGAAAGTAATAGGTTCCTAGTCATGGCAACATTCCTTGTGGACCCGTACATGTTCTCCCAAAGGGTGACCACGCCCCTCACTCTGCCTGATTCAATGTAGTATAATCACATTTCCGTGGACAATCTCTTCAACCGCAGGAACACCGCAGAATCGGTACTCCGTCGGGCTCAATTTGGCGACACGACGGGGGGGGGGCGTTTTGCACTTTCGCTGCTTCCCCTGTCGTATTCACTGCCTTACAATAGTTGGCACGTACTCTTCGCAAGAGCTGGAGATCCCCTCCCCGTCGCCGTATGAGCCCTCTGCAGAAAATGACTTGCCACAGCCGTAGTGACATCCAACACCTAAATTTTTTCAAAGAAAATTAAGTGTGACGGACTGTCGCCGTGAATTATCAATATCTCAAAGGGCAACGCAGGAAGGGATCTCTTTTTCCCTCCTCCGAATGCAATTTTTTTTGTTTGGTGGAGCTGCGCAGGTCGTTTTGGCTTTGTGTGCTCTGCCAGTCAGCATACCAACTTTTACAGCCTTTTGAATGGGACATTATCATTCGCCTCATCTGACCGTACCGTACTGCCATAGAGTTCCTCCAGCAGGTGCATCTAACTTCTGAGCTAGAGAAATTCACCGTCCAGGGGTTCCTTCAAAAGCAGTTGGCACGATAAATCCCTTTAGACGAGTAGGATTAATACGCCTGGCAGGACACTTCCGCGACCCTGAGCAGGCGCTGCATAGCGCCTTTTCCGAGGAAGATGCCCTTATAAGGGCCCTATGAAGTTACAACATACCGACCCGCCAGGCCCGCCCGCTGGGATTTTGACCGTTTCACTCCGTTCTTTCGCCATTTTCCCCACTACATAGCGCTCTATTAGCATTTTGGGCCGACCACTAAATCGTCGTGCCGATTGCCTTCCCCAGTGGGATTTAGTCGGTGCCCGCCTTGATCCACTATGAGCACAAAGTCGCACGATGCATCTGGGTCACCTACCCTTTGAAACATCGCCCAATATCGTCTGGTTTCCCATCTACGGTCATCAGTGTAGTACAAAACTTCCGATTTCCTACATTACTTCCGCTGGGCGGAAAACGCCTACCATTGCACTTCCTTATGGCGGAAAAATTTGAGCATTACCTTTCTGATTACGGGTTGAACGACGCTGGCTTCAAGTCCATCCTGCTTGCCTCCATCGGTTGAGGACTATATGAGGGCAGGAAGAAGCACCCATTCGGAGAAGTGGGACCGGATGTTCTTCATCTCCATAGCTACTCCCCAGATGTTACTGAGTACTCTCCAAGCCGCTCGCTTCTTACTCTTCAGCTCTGGGAGGTAGTCCGTGAGCTGATAAAAGGATAAGGATGAAATCGTAGACGTTGGGATGCGGCATGGGTTCTACAGTCACTCAAAAGCTCAGTGGCTTGTTGAATGCAATGTGGCCTGTACAATGGAGCTAGCTGGTTCCTCCTTAAAAGCTTTCGTTCTCCCAGAATAATCTGGTCGCAAGTTACCGTCCCAGGAGAGTAAAGGCTCGGATGGCCTGGATGGGAGCTGATTCGGGATTTGACCTGTGCGCACGCTTTGAGCGTGCCACTTGTCATTGCAACCCTGCCTTCATTATGCTAGTGCTTTGCAATCGTGTATTGAAGTTCGGTACCCATTCTCCGCCGTATTTATGTTGATCATCATAGCCCGCCTGAAATCGTATCCTCTCAGTCGAATTCTCGATTCGGGTCCCCAGATTTTCCTTCGAGTCGATGCTCACAGCCAAGTGGGTGTAGACGAGGGCACCCATGCCGCAAAGCCCATTGCTGTCGCATGAACAGCTCTTCTCCAGTGCCTCAGATGGCTTCTGACGGGCGGTGAATTCTCGCCGGATGACGTCGCACTTGATCTTGCAGGCTTGGAAACTTCGTAGTGCTATAAGGTGGGTGCCAGCACATGAAATTGAAGGGCATTGGAAAAACCCTCGCCTACTTGGAATCGAAAGACGTTGAGTGCTGGAAGAAGGCAGAATATCCAAATGTGTAACCTGACCCAAACCTCCTCGATCATCGGGCCCGGGAGGAGCTCAATAGGGTGGTCTACAGTAACGAAGAAATCTCAATGACTTCGCTGGACTCAGGCAGCGAATCACGGTGGCTTTGCAGAATCTCTCGCTTTCGCACAGAAAGTTGTGGCGGAGTCTCGTGGTCGTGTGCAATGTGTTAATAGATTTGGTGATGGGAATGTCCTGTCAGAATTTAATAAAGTGTAATATCGCCTTAAAAGTCGAGGAAAAAAAGTGTCTTTTTTGCCCCGCCCCCCTGCAGTTGATAAGTTCTCGGTCAGGTTTAAGAATGGCGGAATGGGCCCGCCTCGATGGGAAGCCTCATTCCAACCCTATTAAAACCGCACGCAGACAACGTTTGCGGTTTTAAGGAAGACCTTATCAGCTGCAGCTAACCACGACTGACACCTAACCTTCCGCAGCCTTTCCTGTTCCTGCCCAGCACTGCCGTATCACTGGCTCCATAATTCCCATTTCTACAACGGGTGTCCTTCGTCGGTAACAGCAGAACTTCTTAACCAATGTTCACGGGAGAGAGAGAACGGCTAAGGAGAGCCCTCGAAAATCAGACCGGAGAGCGAAAAGGGCTAAGGTAAGCTGTCACAAGAGTGCTAAAATGTGGGTCAAATTCGGGATACAAACCGCATCTCCTGTTTTCCGTGCGGTTGCATTCCCTGTTATGCTACTGGGGCCACTGTTGCCCTATCAACTGCTGTTCGTGCCATTATCCTCGAGCACTCACGTGTTCAACGTAATGAGCCGGTTAGCCGATATCGCCAGGAACCGCAAGGCTGAAGGGTTTTACAAGTTTTAAAGCTGTAAAAGTGATAACTAAGCTAATAACTTTCGGAATGCGCACTGCGGCGTTAAACAGCAGGTATCAAACAATAGCACACAAGGTGAGCCTTTGTCACTAAGAAGGAAAACTAGCGCGACCATTTCTCAGAAGAAGAAGAAGAGAGAAACTTCAGCGTGCATTCTTTTCAGTTGACGAGAGTATTCCCTTGTCTGAATGCGACAATCTTTTTTTCATGTAAGTTCTACTCAAACTTCTCATTTTCTGTTCAACATCATAAGCACAAACTTGAGATTTCAGTCCAGAATTCATTAGTACAGTGTAGATCAACACTATATATAAAAGATCTTTTCAATATAAAGGTTCTTCCCCATCCATACCATTAGACGTATTTGAATGTGCACCGCCTCACACTCGAATCTTGTGAAAAAAGTACCATTAAGGCCATTACTAATTGTACTTTCGCGACATTTTAATCGTTCCTAATAGATTTTAATCGTTTCCGAATGGGAAGCAGCATTCAC